AAGTTAAGGCCTCAAAGATTAGGGTTTGTCCCTTCTTGCAAAGCCCACTGCATGCAGCACAGGAACTTCAAGAAACCTAAGGCATTTCAAGAAAAATCAGACTTCCCAAAATAAGTGTCCACATTACTTTGTTCAGGTAAGTTAGTCTCAGCAGTATTCCTAATTACTAGTACATACACAAACACAAAAGGTGCACACACACTCATTACAAATGAGACTAATCTTTCACTTCTTCACTAGTGCAGTGGAGAAAAAAGAGAAAAGCATGCTTCAGAAGCTCACTAATCCTGTTATGTACAGAAAAGTATCAGGCATCTCACAAAGCATCCCAGAAGTCTAATTGAATCAATTTTTTGATAAAAAAAAATGAAATAGAGGGAAACCAGCTGTCAGAGACAGGAGCTGCTGTTTCCTCCAGTGACTTGTTTTTTGAGCAGATGAAGCTTGAGGCTGTGAGGCACACCGATTGCCCCTTGTGATCCTGGGGCATGCCTGCTTCCAGTCCTGCGAGATTCTGGCCCAGTTCCACCTGACTGCAGGCTCCGGCATGGACCCGGTGAAATCTCGCAGAGTACTGGATCCCGTCCAGAAACCAGGACTCACAGAAACGGGGTGAAGACTCAGCTCCACATGTCACCTCCGCATGCACAGAACGCCACCAAGCAGAGAGGCCTGAGCTCTAGAAACAGCTTCCAGGTTTCCACCTAAATGCAAGCACGGCTCATCGTACTGCAGAAAATTAAAGATGATTTAATAAGTTAATATGTTCATCCGACCCTGTCGTCCTGGATACTTGTCCGAACACTTTTGACTTTGGGCGACAGCCGTGATACACAGTTGCAGAGCTCGAATGCAGATTTTTTTTTTATAAAAAGAGGAAATGAAGAGCCAGGGAAAAGAACTCACTGGAACAAAAATTAGGGCCACCATCAGTACAAGCCCTTAGAACCTTAGCATGCAAATGTTACCTCTCAGCCTAGAGGCCTGTAGCACTGCTGGTGGATAAACAGAGGGTTCCCCCCCTGGCACTGCCTGCCCAGTGGAAACTGAGGTGGTTTCATCCTGAATCTCCTCGGCTGGAAGAGAGAGATACAGTCCACACTGTCCCTTCCACAAGCAGTCATTTCTACTGATGCCTCAGAGCTTTGCTCTTGGCTCGAGAAAGAAGCTTCCCACTGCACCATTCCAAGAAATCTGTGCTTTCATGAAAAACTGTTGTAAAAAAAAAGACTTCCCCTCTGAACGACAGGCCTTTTTTAAACTCTTACTTTAAGTTCCTGTGTCCACTGGTCTATATAGAGGTGACAAACCCAACAAAAACTCAGCTGAGTTCTATAGTGTAATGCAATAGGACACGTGCTACACAGGTCAGGTACATACAGAACAGCTGCCTCAGCTCTGCACGTCTACAGCGATACCAAGGGATCGGAGGCGAAATCTATCAGTTCTCAACTTGTAGCTCTGGTATCCCTGGCTATTCAAGTGAGATAAAATTCAGTAAGCTTCACATAATGGGAACTATCCTATTATCAAACATTGTTCGGCATGCAGATTTTTGCAGATGAGGGGCGAATTCGCAGGAGTCTATTAAAATAGAAATAGAAATGTGCATGGACACACCAACGTCGCCCTTTTCTTAATATTCCTGTGGAGGGACTTTCTTTTTTTCTTTTTCGGACAATTTTATCTCCACAATGCTGACATTTTCTCTCCATCCTTGACCCCGTTTTTCTTGTTCCCTCTGTTATCTCAAATAATGTCAGGGCCTCTTTGGAATCTATTCATCAGAGCAGAAAGAAGCAAGTGGCTGACATTGATAAAAAATACCATCTGTGCCTCGCAGGGGAAAGAAAGCTTCAAATGAACCTCACGCTGCTGTCTTTCTCTAGTTCCCCCTCTCTCGTCTGCCATTTAAATAGAAAAGCGCAGTGGTAATTAAATTCCAGCAGGGGTTAGGAGCAATGAAGCAGAGTTTCAACAGGGGCAGCCCTGACATAAAGAAGACACAATTCAAGGAAAGGGAGGGGGACTGTGTGAGGAGAAGGAAGATACACATGACGCCTATTATTAATTCAGAAAGACTGGCGGCCATACCACTCAATCTTCTTGACATCTAGAAAAAATTGTGTATATATATAAACACACATATATATTATTTATATATCTATCTATCAAAGACCCTGACCTTTCAGAAAATGTGTTGGGGCGTACAAACCAAGGCACACTGGGATTTCAGAAATCCTAATAAATTGGCATGCTCAGAAACAAATTCAAGTGATTTTCATTTTTTTCCCCCCCGAGCTGACAGGTAGGGGAATTGATTTGGACCACTGTAGGACAAAACGGATAAAACCCAACAGGCACCGGGCAAACTCGCTCTCTGGATCTGCAGAAGACAGAAACCAAGATGATAATAAAAAAATCACAAGGCCTGACCTTTGGGAGAAGGCGGAAGGCAGATTGACTGGACAAAGGGGATCGGGACATTAAGCCGGCTTCTTCTCACACGCAAAAAAACATGATGGTCATGATTCGATTCCAATTTCATCTTTCAGATGTTTCTGAAAGACTTTTTTTTTGGCACTTTAATCAGAAGACTTTGCTCCATCTAACTTCTTTCTCGTTCTTTCAGAACACCTTTCCAATGTCCAGCAAGACCAAATTGGACAACTGGGCTAGTAAAGACTCTCGTCATTCTTGTGCTCTGCCAGAGCCACTCCAAAGCGGTGTGAGGCTGTGCAAATCACGCTCCCCAGTCACTTTCGAAGGGGTGATCAAATATGCACAGTGAAATTCACTACAGATCTTAAGTCATTCATAGGAAATCACTAATTGACTTTTAAGAATAACAGTTTTTTGAAGTCTTAGTGTAACATTATCGAGATGCTTTTCCAATAAAGCTGACAACAGTGATCCCTATAGCAAACTATTGACGAAAAATGTTATCAAAATGTAAAACAAAAGTGGTAAAAATGCCACCCTAACCATCACCGTATTCCATATGAGCATCACCATGAAGCATGTCAAGTCCTAGGACAAGCGACTTTGCCTTCGATTGTCTTCGTGTCGCATTGAGAATTTACTGAGAAAAATTTACCTAGAAGAATGTACCTTCCCTGACCAGGGACAGAACATTTTTGAAGGATTCGGGACAGCTCTAGGGCAGCATGGGGGCTCAGTGGTTCTCATTCATGCCTTGCAGCGCTGGGGCCCTGGGGTGCTATCAGCGCAGAGTTGGTATGTTCTCCCCTTGGTCACACAGCTATTCTCCAGGTGCTCCAGTTTCAAAGACATACTGGGGGGGGGGGGGTAATTGGCTTCTGGGAAAACTGGCCCTGGTGTGAGTGTGTGTGTCCTGTGACTGACTGGCATCCCACCCAGGGTGTACCCTGCCTTCTGCCGTTCGCTTGCCTGGTTAAGCTCTGCTCCCCCCGTGACTCTGGACTGGATGAAGAGGTTAAAAAATGGATGGATGGAATAACTGTAACTGCGACCCATTTCATCAGTAAGAGGCATGTTATGTTGTGCTCTTATTGCTAAAGGGAGAAGCCTTTTAATTCCTTTAATTCAAATGAACGAGCCAGCCACAAAAAGCAAAGGCCATGTAACGCTCAACACAATTCAGAGATAAATCTCCCGCAGAAACATGCGGATCCCGTGGACTCCTTTAAAGAAAAACGCTGTTTAGAAGCAGGCTGAGCATTTCCCTTGGTTACTCATACACATTGGTCTTCTCTGTGCCCTTAGGTGAGAAACTGGGCTCTCACTTGAATGAGAATCCCTCACAGTTCAGCTCAGGAAACAGAGCAGAGGCCACATCTGTGCATATCTGGCCTGTATCGCTTGAAGTAGACAAAACAAAAAATAACATAAAAGAAAGAGAAAAACAAGAGAACAAAAATAGTCAATACAGAGCCAGCGGCACCTTCAAAACATTAAACCGATATAAATTCAAAGATTTAGCAGTTCAGAGGTTGGGGTGCTGACAAAGTTTGGCTCTTTCACTCCGAAAGGAACAGGCTCAGTTGTTTGCAGTTCATTTTGATAGCTGGGGGGCAACACTTCAAAAGACGGCCCTTTATCTCTTCACCAAAAAAAAAAAGAGAACTTGCACTAGAGCTCCAGGGTTGGTAAATCTGTCCCACTATCTTTCTAACACATGGGTTTATTTCTAAATCCCGTCTGGAAGAACTACTGTAAAAGTATGTCTGGAAGGAGGCCAGTGCTTCTCAGCTCCCCTTCCTACGGATTAAGAGTCATCTTCAGAACGTAATCATTTTCAACAGCCAGTGCCAAAAGGTCGTTTGAAAATAAATCTTATCCTGCTTTTAATTTTTTTTCTTGCATGTTCAATTCGAGCTTTGTTTTGCTCCAGGCTTGTCTCTTGGGGGGTAGAGAGTGGAAGCAGTTTATTTGAGCGTCTAGAACTTACAACCCTCTGTTTGCGGATGGAAGAGTTAAGAAAAATGTACTTTAGCAATGCACGTTTATTTTAAAAAAAAATGTTCTAATGGTGGAAATGACTGCAAATTTATCACACACAAGATAGAATTCTTGAATTATATTGCAATAATGACCATTGGATCAGTAGAACATATGCAACCACAGAAGTCACAGCAAGCTAATGCAGATGTGGTGAAAACTGATAGTATACTTGAAAAAATAGAAATTAAACAAACACCCAGAGATTCATTTTCTGCCCTCAATTTTTTTCCAAATCCCCTCTACTCAATCAAGACTGGCATCCACTTGCATATCGCTACCACCTACTGGTGAATACAGTTCAGTACATCGGAAGACCAATCATAAACCCCATTCTAAAAATTCCAAGAGAACTTCCAGAAGGACATTAGATACCCTTCTTTAATTTGGGATCATCCACATCAGCATTAAAAGGCATTTTTGGGGCTATAATTTGACAAGCTTCACAGGGCTTATCTTCTCACAGGGTGCTTAAATACTGAAATAATCAGAAAAGGGAAAACACAATTAATGTCTAATTTCCATTCGCCTGAGTTTCTTTTATTGCTGTGTCATTCCTGACTGCCACTGCCAGAATCGCACAGGAAATTACATTGCACCTGCTCCCAGTTCAGTCAGCAGAGGATACAGTACAGGGCACCTTTCACACAGGTAGAACAATTTACAGTGTGGGCTTGAGCTAATATATTGATTTTTGTGGGCTGCCCTAATTTAAATTGCTTGCTCCTTTCTCTCTCTTCTTCCCCCCACAGAATCTGAAAATCAGACAAACAGTATGTGAAGAGTGAGTCATGGTACTCAGCAGAACAGGAGAACAGCCATTCCAATTAAACCTCCGGGGGGCAACATCATGAATCACGGGACCCCCTGGCAATATCCGATACCCAGATGACATCATGTGTCATCTGCTGCAGACAAACTGCATCAAGGGCTGGGGACCTCTCAGGTAAGAGGACATGACCTAAAATTAAAAACTGTTCCTTAAAGCTTGTTCAAATTCAGCCGTTTAATCGGGCAGTCACTTCAGTAGCTGCTTAAAATCTTTAGAACTTCGCTTTTCACGGAGGACAGCGAGTGGAGTCTCACACCAGGAGCACCAATGCTGGTTTCCCAACAGTCATAGCCACAATCCTGCAGCTCCTGTACTGCTTTTTGTACCACTGAGCAGTCAGTGTCTGAAAGGGAAAGAAAGAAAAAAAACAAAACAATTACACTCAACAGTATCAAAGTCAATAAGGTCAAGACACTGGTCACATGAGCTCCTGACAATACATCTGAAAAGACAGCAGCTTCTCCACTATCCTCTAATGGACAGTTCCAAAGGACGTGAGACTGCAGGTGTGTCACCCTGTGGGAACATTTTCCATAACAAGTAATAAGTGAAGCAAGCTGACCCCAGAGAAATGGCTAGTGAAGAAAGCAAGGGGACAGCAATGCACTGACTAGCATGAGCATTATTTCCACCTCGGAGCCCGATTTCAGCCAATTGTAGAAGCTGAGCAATACTGGGCCTGGTCAGTACTGGGGTGGGAGACCTCCAAGGCAAACCAGGCTGCTGCTACAAGCAGTGCTGGTGGATCAGTGGCAGGCATTCTCTGGCCTAGAATTTCCAAAGCAATGTCTCCGTACTGTGACCAGGCATCCAGTGCTACAGGTGATGCCTTCATTCTGATGAGATGCGGATAAACTAAGGTCCTCGCTACTTGGACAATAAATATCACACAGTACTGCTCAGGCCGGCACGGTGGCGCAGGTGTTAGAATTGTGGCCTTGCAGCACTGGGGTCCTGGGTTCAATTCCAGGCCTGGAGTGCTATCTGGGTACTGTTTGTATATTCTTTCCATGTTTGATACTCTGATTTCCTCCCACAGTCCAAAGCCATGCTGGTAGGTTAACTGGATTATGGGAGAATTTGACCCTGGTGCCTGTGAGCGCCCTGCAATGGACTGGCATCCCATCCAGGGTGCACTCTGCCTTGCCCCCTGTTCCTTGCTGGGATAGACTCGAGCTCTCCCGCGACCATGAATTGGAATTGGAGTGGCTAGAAACTGGATGGGTGGTACTATTCAAAAGAGCAGTGATGGCTTGCCTCCTGTTCTGGCTCAATTCCACACCATTTAGCTTCTCTAAAGTTCCCCCATAATTCAACTGCTGAAGAAATGTCTCACTTTCCCACCTGACCTGCTGTCCGTCAGGGTTGCTGGTGCATAAGAGCTGGCACTTTAGTGGGGAATGAAGTGGGGAACCCCTCAAAACAAAGCATATTTCATCGTCGGGATGAAGACTGGGATGCAAAGAATGATGGTTTTTCATTCCTGTAGCATCTGAGCACCAGTTTAAGACTGAAGGAAGCTCCAGCTTTCAGATAACTCTTAGTTATTCTCAGAAAATTAATAGATCATTACTAATAATCAACTTCTTTACTTTACAAGGGGTCACATATCCAATCATGGGGGAAAAGTGATCAACTACACGGTTGCTGCACTCTTGATGACTTAATTCCAGATTCTACATTTTCACAAACGTCAATTTGCTCCAAGTGTAGCGAAAGCGAAAACGTCTCACTCCAGCAGGACAGTGAAAGCCACAGAAAGTTCTCCACTTGAGGGGCATTAGTCCCCATTACCCAGGCATTATACTTGCCAACTCTAAACAGAGCAGAAGGGATCCTGGGCAAGAACAATGTGATGTGGGACAAGGGGGCTGGGAGGGAGGAGGGATGAGTAAATCACTCTAATGGGCTACAGAGGGCACACAGCAGGGTGCGGAGTAATGGGCACAGAGTAAGTGGCTGGTAAAGAATGTCGCATTAGTCTGTGAATAAAAGCTCCAAACACTCTGGAAATGACTGCCTTAATCAGTAGGGCGATTTTCTGTAATAACTGTGGAAAAATACCCCTGCTGTGTTGGCCTAATGAGGGAACAGGGGGCCGCGGAGCAGTACAGAGACCCGAGGTGCCAGGCCTGAATGAGATTCCGCCTCACTGGCACAAACCCCGTTCCAGACGCAGAAGAAAAAAGAATTCTCCGACCAGCGCGTCCTGCAGTCGCACGGAAGAAAATCGTCGGCATGGAAGGCTTTGAAGGAGGTGCGCCGCAGCGATACCAGGCCCCTAGCACCGTCCCCTGCTGCCTACATTCAACCACAAAGCTGCGACACCTCCATTCAGAAGGTGATGCTTAATGTGAAGGGCAGGCCTTTGCCTTACCTCGTCTGATTTGGCTGTTATGCGTGTTTTTTTTTTTTAAATATCACTCCTGTGAATCTCCAGCATAGAATTTATAGCAAAATACCCCCCCTTAAAAGGCAACAAGCAGTCACTGTGTCTTCACTAGATCCAGATTTTTACCAAACATATTCATTTCCCTCTATAAAATCAGATATTTTTTTTTATACTGCAGTTGTGACTATTCTCCTGTAAATTCTGCTTGATGGACCGATGAGGTAAAACGCTCAGCCGCTGTGATGCGTTGAGAAAAAGAGCACAGGCCTTGCTCAGCAAAAAACAGAGTTTTAGTGTTTTGAACTGGGAAACAGGATCGGCAAACGGCAGGCTTAAACCAGCATCCCATGCCAAAATATAAACAGTGAAAACACAGACTCACACTATGTGCTATTTTAATAACAGCATAGCTATTGGCTTACAGTATTTAAATGTAAATCTGTTCAAAAGATTATACTATGCATTCTGCCTTGTTTTAAATAGGAACTGTTGTTTTTCTCCCTTTCATGTTTCCTCTAACACTCCAAACCTCAGAGCTGTTTGCCATTTGGAAAGATCCACAGCACCTCAGAGGAGAGTTAACCTTCACTTGTTCCACTCTGGCACATCTCCCCCACTCAAACGTCTACATTTACATTCATTTATTCTGCTGACGTTTTTACCCAGGGCCACTCAAATTTGTCAATTATACGGCTGGGTATTTTACTGGGGGAAGTTAGGGCAAAGTATCTTGCTCAAGGGGACAACCACAACGTCTCACCTGGGATTTGAACATTTGACCCCACAACCTTCCTAACGTGTCCAGAACTCTGACCACTGCTCCATGCCACTGCCCCTGCAGTCTGGGCTACCTGAAAACAACTGCACTTTCACACGTCTTCTGTTTTTCACAGAGATTATAACGTTTTCTTCCTTCACTCCCAAAGAGGACATTCTGCTTTGGAGCTGGGTTCAGCAACAACAGATACACTCTGTTCTAAGAAAAAGTTATTTATTGCTCTTAAAAGTAAAAAAAAAACCTTAGTATTCTGGGATGTGCTTGAACAAGTTTACCCTCCAAGATACTGAATTGGAAAATTTGTAACAAAAACAAATCGATTTTTTTAATTAAACCAAACACCACTATTATTTAGTTGCAGCTGCATGGATAAAGAACACCATTGCCTTGTGTTCTGAACACCCAGTCAACTGCAGCTTGTGACCGGAGATTGACAGAAAAATATGCCACTTACCCGGTCTAAGAAGAGTTATCCCACAGCCTCCTCCCCCAGCTCCTGTTAGCTTGCTGTGCAGGCCGTGTGCCAACGTCACCTGGCACAGTGTGTCCAGGGAGGGGTGCCCCACGCCAATCACATTCAGGTGGTGCTGGTTCATGTCAATCAGCTCCTACGACAGAACACCTTGCCACTCAGATCCGATTTACAGGAGTGCGGGAGGAGGAGAAGGTTGTACTACAGAACTGTTACAGACCCCTGTTCTAAACAGCAACTGGGACAGATCGTAGCAGCCAGTCTATATCTAGATAGAATATTACACGCACACCAAGAGTACTCATATTAAGATGAAGAAAATAAATTGCAATCATAATAGTTGAATAAAGTACGAGATCCTTTTGACCGCTGCTAAATGCAACCAAAATAAGTGCGAAAGTATTCTAGGTCATTATGAATCTTACTTCTAAAACAGCGTAGTGCTTGGGTCTGCTTTCACTGGCCATGTCTATCAGTGTCCTCTCACAGGAGGAGGAAATGGCATCTATTGATTCCAGCACTGGATTCATTATGGCTGGAAACTAAAGGAGGGGGAAAAAAACACAAGAACCCAGGAAGGTTACATATTAAGAGGTGGTCACTAGCCACTTGCTTGGCTGCTAGAAACTAAGCGATTTGAAAAATCTCATCTAGCAGTTTCTATAAAGAGGACAAGGCATCAGCTTTAACATCACGGTTGGATTGCTTTTTGCAGACTCCTACAATCCTTCATGTAAAAGTGTGCTCCTTGTTCTCAGTATTAAATGCATTTCCCTACATATCGTGTCCTCCAATGAAGTCCAACAGGTTAAAAAATAAAAAAAATAAATGATATTGCTGCCATTCCATAAGGAAAGATAAATGGGACTGCACTGCTCATTATTTATACAGCAAATTTAATGGCCCGTGATATTTCAAATCTGTGGTGGAAGGGTGACATTTTTTCACCACTGTTTCTGTACCTCTATAAGGCTTCTTTAACCTAAAGCTGAACTTCACTGCCATGTCCTGCACCGGCTCTCCCAGAGACACAGACACCTGCTAAAGTTGTCTAGGCAACGGCAGACGAGGGTGCTTTTGAAATGGAGGCACTTGAAATGTTCATGTTTTATGAAACCCGTCGACATTAGGCCCCCAGGATATCTCTTAAACTCAAAGCAGCAGCTATTTCCATAATTACAGGCTGGATAATAACACAGCAGACACTGGATACATACCTTGTTAATTTTGTCCTTCACTCCAGCAACTAGAACCTTTGTACTGCGGGGAACTTTGGTATTTGTTAGGAGAATTCTTAACACCGGTACACTAAAGAATAAACAAACACATGCATAAATATACGAACATCGAACTGAAATGTTTTGCCTGCATGTGTTATTATAATTCACTTAATCCTACATGCAATTTTGACTACACTTACTTTCAAAACAACTCTCAAAATCTTTTACCAACACAATTGGATTAGGTCCAGAAGTTCTCCTTCCATGCATTTTTTTATATAAAAATTAAACACTCATGAGGAGCCATATATTTTATGGAATATATTTGCACTGGAAGAAAAGCCAGGATTTTTAGAAAGTACAAGAGATGAATGATGTCATTTAGGGAATACCACAGGAAAGGATAAATGCCCAGTTTAAGCACAAGAAAACCATGAGAACATCCCAAAAACTTCATGCAAACACAAAGTGGCAAACTTTCAGAAGAGCAGCAGTGGCAGCTGCCATTTATCCTCTGGGTAGTTACAGTTTGTCATAATGACACGAAGCACTCAAGGAACATGCAGGAAATGGGTTTCCTTACCTGCTCAATGGGCTGATCTTCCCCGCATGATAGCGCAGTACCCCACCTAAAATCACAAGTACAACGTCACTGTTCAGCAGCTGCACTAAAACAGGCATGGAGACCAGAGGAGCAGGGCAACCTGCACAAATACTGTTAAGCTTGGACACAAAATAAAATGAAAATACAAAAATATATATTCATGAGGATTTGTTTAAGATTCCATTTCATGCTACAACTCTAAAGTGGAGTGTATTTAAAACTGAGTATAGAAGGCACTTCTTTACCCAGAAGGTGGTGGAAGTCAAGAACAAGCTAACCAGCCGATGTTGTAGAAGTCTGGCTTTTTTCTAGCCAATTGAGATCTCGGATCAATTAACTACTAATTACCAAATGGGCTAGATGGGTCAGATAGCTCCTCTCACTTGTTACTTTTCCTAAGTAACATGCCCTGTCAATGTTTCCAGGCACGTACAGTATCCTGAAGTGAAGAGCTCACGGGTACATACAGTAGTGTTCATTAGATCTCCTGTTTTTTTTGTTGTCTGAAAAAAATACCTATAAAAGCTAAACAGCATATTCACGTTTCTTTAAAAAAAAAAAGGCAATAGAAAAAGGCGAATTCAAAAACAAAATACTGCTTTCCTCTAACCGATATTGGGCTTTGCTTTTGGAAAACATATTTTTCAGAGTAATACATATTTCAACAAAAATAAATGCTGAACTATTTAATAAACCTACAGGGAAATAAATGGAATTCCTTAATGCACAGTGATAGCATTTAACTTCATCATTCAAACTGAGAAGCCAATTTTTCTAGCATGCTACACTTGTGAGAAGATTAAGCTCTCCCACAAGAGAAATTACTGCGCCGTTACTGAATGAAATCAAAACCTCTGAACCTTTCAACACCACACGGCTGCGGGCGCGGAGGTGAGGGGACTGGTCTTACCCCACGTTCCCACTGCATTGTCCACCCCTGACGGATTCCCATGAATGATCTTCTCTCCCTGCAGGGCCCACTTATTAATCAGCTCCAGCTCCTCCTCTTTCCACCTGCATTTCAACACCCACCAGGAGAAACAAACGATCAAGGAAAGCACGACCACTTCCCATCCATAGACCACGTAACAGCTAACTACAAACTACTAAAACAGAAACAATTTAACATCACATTTACATTGAGTGGCATGCCGGTGCAGTGGCTAGCATTGCTGCCTTGCAGAGCTGGGGCCCTGGGTTCGATTCCTAGTGCCTTAACTGCGTGCAGTTTGTATGTCCCCCCCGTGTTCACGTGGGTTTCCTCCCGCAGTCCAAACACATGCGGGTAGGTTAATGGGATTCTATCTAAACTGGCCCTGGTGTGTGTGTCTGTCTGCTCTGCGATGGACTGGAGTCCCATCCAGGGTGTACCCTGCCTTGTGCCAACTGCTTGCTGGGATAGGCTCCAGCTCCCCTGCGACCCCAAACTGGATGAAGAGAACAGGACACGGATAGTTGGATGGATGAATGGACTTACGTTCATGGTTTATGGGGATCATGAATTTCATACAGGTGCACCAAACGCAAGCCTTACTGCTTTTGTGAAGACCTGAGATGTATCAGTTTACACAGACTGGCAATTACCAGAGCACCTCAAAAACCCGGACCCTCCTGCATTCAAACCATTAATCCATTGCTCCAGGGCCCTGACCTCTATTCCACACTGTTAACTGTTAACGTCAAACAATGAACATTTTTTCTCACTCTAGTTTAAAAATAATCAGAAATTGCATCCTGCTACCATACAGTCCAAAACACAAATACACAAAGCTCATTTCACAGTAAAATCTAAAAGGTTCTAGTGTGCAGAGTGTCTGCTGTGTTCTAGGAGCAAACTGCCTGGATATTTGTTTTGTTGTGCTGTTTCCAGAGGTTCAGCAGGGGATCCTTTGGCATCGCTGCAAACTGCACGCTCTGGCAGGGGGCTGTAGCCAGATGAGGAGGGTACCTGGCAGTGTGTCCCTCGGCAGCCTGAGGCCAGGCGACGGCTCCCTGGGCAGACAGCAAGGCCGCGGACAGACAGACAGAGAAGGCGGCGCTGGAACCCAGGCCAGCTCCCGTTGGCAGTTCTGACCAAACGGACACGGTCACACTGGGCAGTGCCCTGCAGTGGAACCCGCACAGAAAGAGAAAACAAGAAGAAAAAAAACGAGAATGAAAGGCAACACATGTCACGACACCAAACAACTGACACCGCCCTCTCGAAGTGCTCCTGTCAGTCAGAAAGCCGTGCTCAGGTTACAATTTTGACAAACAAGTTTCACTCGTGTCATTTCAGTATGGTTTTTTTTGCTGAAATTTGTGATTTAGACAAGGAAGGAGCCACATGACTTTCAGCGCTGTCACTAAGAGTCTCTTTAAGATAAAAAAAACTATCAAGCAGGAAAACCCCACCCCACCAGAAAGACACTGCTACTTGCAATCTGACCACAACACTACACTGAGGCCCTGTGCAGGAGTCTCGTCTCATCCGCCTTTGAATGTGGGTCCTTCAGGCTTCAGTCACATGGGCAGCGCTGCTGGCCACCTCAGCGATGGTTCTACACGAGGGGTTTCAAATCCCACACCTGCTGGTTTTCATTCCGGCTGAGTGTGGCTGCTTCATTGAAGCCTTAATTGAATTATAGAGATGCCCAATCGGAACATCTGCGAGTGCCTCTTCGACTAAAGAGTCCGGGATTTGATTGGAATTAGGAAATGCAATAGTTGAAACACCACCTCCGGCAGGTCTGAAATCTGAAAACCGCCACACGGTTCCAAGTCATCCTGTGATCAAGTCAATTACAAATTCAGAGGTGTCACTGTCAAGTGGGTCGGAACAAAAACTGCCGACTGTGTGTGTGGACAAGGGCAAGGATTGGGAATCCCTAGTCTACACACTAACTCCAGCACATTCAGCTCCTTACTTCTGCTAAATGTGAAAATCAGTGTTTTCTGCAAGCGCCACACCAGTTTCGGTGTGGGGTCGGGGTCCGACAGCGGCGGGGGGTCGTACCTGGACCGGGAGAAGACTGAAAGGTAGACGTAGAGAAAGGCCAGAACTGCGAGGCTGCGAGTGTCAGGGGAGCGGTCCGAGAGGTCAGCGAAGAGGCACAGCTTTTTCACAAACTCGGGGTCTGGCTCACAGGCGCCCCAGAGGTCAGCGCCTACCGGGCAGGAACAAGTTTTAACTCACGACATTTCTGTATTCAACCCCTCCCCTTCGCACCTTGCTGGACACAATGCAAATAGCTCTAAAAGAGTGCAACTGTACACTTGTAAAATTGTACAAAAGCTTCATGTATGTGTTTTACTTGGAAAATGTTTCATTGTTCAAGGGTTTTCCTGTTGAATCCGCTGAGATCTTACACCCAACCCCCAGTAATCCCACCTTTACAGGCTATTACAGATTTAACTTAGCCTTTTATTTTACAAAAATAAAATCTTTGGGGTTACCTGTAAGAACTTACAAGCACTTGACTGAGTGTAAATTGAACAAGTGTACAACTGCACCCACTCAGTTCCTTCATTCCAGCTGGAGATATCATTGTCCATGAAAGATTATCTTTTTAGCACTCTGAATGGCACCTCTTGAACACTGTACTATCAATTTTCACATAACAGACTTGAGCACATGGAGAGAGTTACTTAGATATGATTTACAGGGAAGCAGTGCGCCCACCTTTGCAATCTGGGAGCAGGTCCTGCAGCGAGGACAAGTCCCAGCTGAGGAAGGTGTCAATATTGGGGAGGTTAACTGAGACTCTTCCTGAAGAGCTCGGCTGTAGGCGCAGGTAGGTCCGCAAATCTAAACCGACAGCCAGAGCCAGCTGAAACAATGCAGATAAAAGCAGTTCAAAAGAGAGGTAATATTAAGGCTCGGGGTGAAGATGCAGTGACAACACAATGGACAGATACCATACAATGGGTTTCTGCATTTGAAGCTTACTGATATTATGATACACGCGGACTCACTTTCCCGTGTACTACCGCGTGTTCCCCATGAAGAATGACTTTCCCAGGCGCAGACACGATGTGCTCCTTCGCTTGCATGGTTCAATCGTGTCCCTGACAAAGAAAAGGCATTAACTTGGCGTTACAGAGCAACAAGCTATATCACACACATATCTAAAGAAATAGATTACTACCTCCACAAACCTCCGCAAGATAACTGTTGACTACATTTCCGTGTGCTGTATGTAACGCAAGGGCAAACGCTAGCTACTGTATTTCACATCTGCACCTTTCAGATACAGTACAACGGATGAGTGTGTAAGCTAGCATCTTGCCACACTTTAAAGTGATAACAAACAGCATGCACGTTCCCATAAAAGAGACTTCATGTGTTAAAACAAAAATGCACCCGACTACAGATATTCAGCTTACCTGCTCGCAATTAAAACTCCCGACGTTTCTCAGTGCTGCTGTCATCCACAATGAGCAAGGTATCTATGCGGTCCTCATCATCCCCAATAGTTTTGCAATTTCCAAGAGAGACAAAACATTGGGATTATCCCCTGAATGGTAAGGGACACATGCCAGTCTTAAAACATCTGTCCAATCCTTTTCCTCGGTTCCAGTAGCGCATCGCAACAAATGCCACCCCCCACTTGCAAGCATAATACCGAAAAGCAAAGCAAAGCGTCAGACCTGCCGGACGAGCGTTTTGGCAGCTGACAGCCAGTCAGGTTTTGAAAGGGGCTGTACAGACCGCGCAAGCGCCAATCACCGGGCTGGCTGCACACTCGTCCCATTGGTCGTGCGATGACCCGAGCAGAGGGACCGAGTACGGCAGCCGCACTAGGACAAACCTTGTCCACCTTTAAACACAGGAGGTGGATACACCTAATCGACTTGCGCGCTGTGGTACGCACGCTTTTATGAATGGCGACTCTGTTTGTAAAAAATGTCCCTCTCCGTTGTGCTCTTCAATTCTCCTGCAAGCATTTAAGCACGTCGTGGATCCGGGCTTTAAGTGTCAGCGGAAAAGAGGGAGGGTGAGGTGTTTAGCTAGCTGCATTACAGCATTAGCATATTGGCGTGTACCTTAACAATTAATTACTAATATGTTGTCGCTCCGAGGAAAAAAATAGGTCTGGGGTTAATTACAAATTAAAATATCCTCCTTCTTGCTAACACGTTAGTTAAATGACTTGCAGTCCAACCAATATAACAAAACCCGGACTCTTGGAATTTTATCTAGCTAGCTCGATATTTCACGTCCTATAATATTGCATTTTGTAACAGTCGTAAAATAAAAAATATATATTCTATTAGAAACACAGACGTAAACATTGAAGCTTTTTTTTACGTTATTGTCTAATGCGCAATATTTTAATCATTCTTAATTCTTAGTTCAACGAGCACTAGCAACAATGCACCAATACCTAAGATTTACACCAGGACGGGAGATAAAGGTTGGTGCCGTCTCTGTTTTACAACATAATGAAATAAGCATTCGTCGAGTTAATATTACCCCCGCGATTTAAAAAACAAAAATTACCTGATAGGATCTCATCAGTAAATCAACCTTGTTATTGCTTTCTGTCCCTCCCTCTCTCTGCCGGAAGGATTCTCCAGCACTTTCACAGGGGAGAGAAGGCCCAAGGAAGACCAGGTGTTCGACGCATTAGGAACAACAGACGAGCTGTCTTCTGCTATTGGGTAATATGAACAAACTCCTACATTCCTGCTGTGCACTACATCCCAAAAGAACTCAAAGCTCTTCATATACAGTTGGGCTCCTCATCAGTGAAGTGCTGCATCCAGTCTGTACCAGCAGCCCCACTACGCAGCAGATCATGTAATCAATCAGTCAATCAGTCAAAGTTTGTTTATCAACAATACAGCGTGCAGCAGTAGAAGCTGGCAATGAAATGTCTTTTCTGCGAGCTTGGGGGGTGTATATCACAAAATTAAAGTTACAAAATAAGGTTACATAATAATACATAATAGTGCGCTAGAAATGGAATAAAATAAACTCAGACAGAGCTCAATATAAATAGAGCTGCGATGTGTCCAGGGTGTGTGCAATATATTATGTCCAAGTAGTGCAGTGTGCCGAATACAATGAAAACCGTGTGTCCATGTAGCCATTAGGGGTGATTTGCTGAAGGAGCTGCAGGTTGGCTGTTTAGCAGTCTTATTGCCTGGAGGCAGAAGCTGTTCCGTAAACTGTTAGTCTTTGACTGAATGCTTCGGTACCGTTTACCGGACGGTAGGAGAGAAAACAGTTTATGACTGGGGTCCTTGAGAATGGACCTGGACCATTCTGGACCAGTAGGGAGAAATTGCTTCCCCACTTGAATTAAGGGGGAATTTAAGCCCGATCCTGCAAACCCGGAGCGGAATGGAACAAAGGGCTGTGGGAATCGGAACAAGCTACTCAGCCATGCTGGTGAAGCTGATATCCTGGCGGTCAAGAAACATGTGGATGAGATCCTCGGATCACTTGACAACCGAAAAAGCTAGACGCCCCTCGTGTTTGTCGCCTTTCTGGCCTAGCCAGGACACCTGGGTTGACACCCCTACTCTTGTAAATATGATGATATCCGTATCGGGTATACGGAAGGACAGAAGGAAGAACGCCACCTACTGGTCTAAACATCTGTTACAGCAGCAGTCTGGTTTTCCTTGGAGGCCTCCCACCCCACTGCTGACCAGAATCAGTCTTGCTTTGAATCTGAGATGTTACCAGACCAGGCTGGAAGGTGGCAAAGCTGCTGCCACTGATCCTGAACGTCATGGAGTTACATCATATACAGTATTGACAATGAACAGTGTGATCATACAGGACGGGGTCGTGCTTCAGGCTCAGCGAGAACAGAATTAAAATATCCATAAGGGTGTTTTGTGGGGCACTGGTTAGCACTGTGGCCTCACAGCACTGGGGCCCCCAGTCCAATCCCAAATCATGGGGAGCGACCTGCCTGGAGTTTGTATGATTACCTGTGCTTGTGAGGGCTTCCTCCCACAGCGCAAAATATCCTGGTAGGTTAATTGGCCTCTGGGATAATTGGCCCTAGGTGTGACGTTGTGTCTGTTTTTGTGTGCTCTGTTTGGCTGCCTTCCTGTCCCCGGTGTATCCTGCCTTGAGCCCATTGCTTGCTGGGATAGGGTGTTTCTGTGACCCTGGACTGGAAGGAGAAGTTAGAAAATGGATGGATGATGGACCATTTGTCACATGTTAATTTTAGTGCACTTTCTCAAAGCACTTTACATGATGACAACAACAATAAATAAGAAGAATACACAAGATAAAACACAATTACAATTTATAGAGGAGACCCTGGATGGTAGTACTAAGAAAAGCAGAGGGGTGAAGAATGGAACCAGTTCAGTAAAGACTTTTCTGAAGAGGGTTTTGAGTCTGGATTTGAAGGAGTTTAAAGAAGGTGAATCTGATATCCTTGATAATGTGTGAAACTATGTAAAATATTTGACAATGGTGTAAAATCCTTGCTAGATAGGACTCTCTGTTCTTTCTCCAGATTAGCCAGAGAGTTCTGCCTGGATCAGGGCCATGTTTTCACAGAGGAGCTGCACAAGGTCAGGCTTTGGAGGGTCATACGCCGCTCAAAACATCATGCATGAAGAAAAGGGGTTTATAGTTTGGAGATTTTTAGTAAACAGCTGAATAAAAACAAAGGAAAACAGGAAAAAATTGTGGGCTGTGTTCAAATCGACAGTATAAAAACAACTTCATAGTTAGCCTGTCTCAAATTCACTTAACCTCCCTGACGATTCCTTCATGATCACACTCTCATAATCGTGTGGGGTCATAGCATGGATGGTGGTCATCCTCCAGTTACACCATAAAATAAAATAACACATTAAGACCGGAAAATAAGTTCAAATTTTCTCATCCACAGATTCAGTGTGTCCTGCAAGATGTTGGATCAAACATCGCCACTCCCCTGACTTCTGCCAGACAGAGCCACATAGGTAACTACTAAAATGAGTTTGGTTGGGTAATGCTAAAAACAAAAGCAGTGCTGGTTGGGTTTCTGGCAAAGCTGAGACCAGCTCCTAAACCGCGTATCCTCAACTTTCAGAGCACAAGTAGCAGTTAATCCTTGAGGAAAATGGGAGCAGAAATCACTGAAAACAATCTCGTGTTGCTGGTTTCAAGGCTTCGAGTCAATGTAATATTTACAATATTTAATGAAGGTTATGTATACAATAAAATGAAATCTAGGACTAAACCAGGGATTTAACACGTAACCACTTGTATAAGAATGTAATAGGTCACAAATTCCTCCTGATATCAGGACTTTTCAGTTCTCTCAGCTAACTACATGAAGAGATGGGAGTGTTGTACTGTAGATGCTCTAATTCCAGTTTTCCCCTGAAAACCTCCCTAAAATGCTCACGTTGCAGAAAGGACAAAGTTCGGCACAGAGCCCGTCTTCGAGCTGGAGCGCTGGATTGATAAATACACAGACGAGCTGCCACCCTTGACCAGCTTCATCCTGCCTGTGAGTAGCCTCTTCCCAAAGCCCCCTGGCACAGCCCCCGACTCGCCGAACAGCATGCACCTACCGCCAGTGACTTGCATCCG